TGATCACACACGCTGATGTGTTCTTTTATTGGGAATTCTTACAGACATTGTAACAGTCCATAATTCAATTAGATCAAGCATAATTATATGCAGTTGCTACCCTCAGTTTCAAAACATCTTTGTTCTTCTAGAAATGTTTGATATCAGCTCCCCTTTATCCCCTCCCACCCTCACCCTATGCCCAGGAACCCTTATTATTATCTCTCTCTCGCTCTCTCAATATAGATATGTATATATATCTCCGTATCATACACCATCCAATGTATCCTTTCACTTGCAATTCTGTTATTTGTTCCCTTCAAGTGGGGTCATACAGTCATCATTGCTATCATCTCCCTCTTCCCCCGCTTTCCCCCTCCTCTTCCCGTACCCTCAGCGAATCATTACTCCCTGTACTGTTTCTGAAGGGTTATCTATCTTGTCTTTCATGCATCAAATGATTTTAATTATACAAATGATCATACACAAGTCTAACAAGATTAATGAGGTAAAACAAAGACCATAATAGTAAGGGAGGAAGGATACTTATGTGTTTCATCAGTGCCCTACTGCTCCCTAGATTTATCATCCCTTCCAAGTGGCCCTTCTGTGAGGGACTGCCCAATTATCTTTTAGGTGGGTTTTGAGTCTCCACTTTGTCCATGCGCCTTCGTTGCTTGTTTTTGAGGTTTAAGCCTTTAGAACTGGTGTCTCCAATGACATACTTCTTTCAGAAATAAGGAAAGGCAAAATGAATCATTGTTTATGAAAAGAAAAAAAACCCAGCAACCAAGAGCATTGGAATTTAAATTTTAACTCTAGTTGCCTTCAGAAATAAGATTCTAATGGCATTGTGGTCACATGCCAGAATCGGCGAGGCTGAACATCGGACAGGAACCTGATAGCTCGCATTCCAAGTCTGACCTCACACAGGTTCTTTTCCACCTGTTGTCAGCCCGGTGCCGTTGGCTGCACAGGTGATGGTGAGCCTTGCCTTAATAGGTGTGAACTTACCTACCGAATGAAAAGTGGGGCAAACTGGTCTCCACCTGGACACGTTCCTTCCAACACTTATCCCTCCCACATACCTGGCTCTGTGTCGCCCATGCGTTCACTCAGATCAGCCCATTGAGTCCTTATGGAGGCACTGTGAGGCAGGTTGGTGGTTGAGCTTACTCCATTTTTATTTTTAAATTAAATAATCATTTTATTAGGGGCTCATCACAATCCGTACATACGTCATTTGTATCCAGCACATTAGTGCATATGTTGACTTCATCATTCTCACAACACCCGCTTTCCACTTGAGCCCTTGGTGTCAGCTTATTTTACCCCTCCCCCTGAACCCTTGATAATTTATAAATTATTATTATTTTATCATATCTTACCCCATCCAACGTCTCCCTCACCCACTTCTCCGC